ACTCGACTTGTGATTTTTTAGGGGACTCTACAAATAAAGAAAATGTTAGTCAAATGAGAATTACCCTTGGAGTGTAATCGCACAAAAGTTACATAATTTATTCACAATATTTTTTGGAGTTTTTACCTACCTACTGAGTTTTCCGGGAAGAAATTTACAACTAGCATTTAGGTTTGATTAATACTCGTATACTTTTCGTTTGTTTTAAAATTTACATATCAGTTTCTATTTAACAAATACCGATGCACGATTTTTGAAAAAGAATACGATGTTCTTAGTTTGTTACTCGTAATGATTTTAATTTGTAAAAGATTTGTTACACATTATTTATTTTCATTTAAAATTTTGTCATTTTAAGGCCAGCCAAAAAGGTCTCCAGTAGCATAAAAATAAAGAAGGAAAAATACCTGAAACTACTAACTACATTGCTATGATCATTCCAGTAAACGTACTTTCGTTGTAGCTTCGTTGTTTTACTGCTTTAGTTTCAACCAAGTACCAATTGTGGCACTTTGACGACTGCGCGTAGAGTCGCGGGCTAAAGTAGTCGTTTATTTTTGCGCCTGAGCGCGCAAACTACAAAACTGTTACCGATGAGGAAGCAAACGTACGTAGTTTGAGCTTTGGAATCGGTGTTAAAAGTTTAGTAAACGATCTAGGACTTTAAGGTACAAACAAAGGCATATTAAGCAAAACACTGCTATCCTATCTAGGTAAAAGCGAAAGGTGACTGACTGACTCATTCATCACGAAATCTTTGAAACTACAAGTGCTTCGAGTCTCGCATGGGGGTTCTTTTTAGAACATAGGTGCTCACTAAGACGGGATTTTGCAAAATTCAACTCCTAAAGGGGTAAAACGGGATCCACGCGTTCGAAGTCGCGGGCGGCCGCTAGTCGTATAAAGTCTAGTGCCTGAGGTATGGGAACGGCACGGGAGGGGTGACATTGACATAACATGACATGATCACGTGACAGAGCATCAGATTTGACGTCTTAAAAACGCTCCCATATCTTAGTTACTGAATGAGTTAAGCGCTAGGCTTATTGTTGTACAAGAGTGATTCTGCAATAAAACCTCTGATGTGTTTTCCTCTGTACTTACTGAACAAGTGTTGAACCAAGATATTGCTCAGTAAGTTATTGATAAACATCAATAAATAAAGTTCGTTGCGAGCGGAGGAGCAGATGTGTCGCGAAGTTGAAGGAGGTTGAGACAAAAATTTTGTGAATTATTTATTGGTATAAATCATCATTCCTGCTGTTGGCTCAAGTTTTAAGTTCTAAGTTTAATAGCAGTAATTACCACCGTATAGTTTAGCCATAGAGTATCATAACGGCAAATATAGGTAATTTGAATGGAACTATTATGCCAATTTAACGTCTACAAAGTTCGTCTATTCAAAGAACTGCCCGCACGAAAGCGAGATATTCAAAAAGTTTTAACATTTCGTTCGCGCTGCAGAACCTTAAAAGTGAAATTGGCTTGCCACGTATGCATAATGCCGGCTCCACACGTTATATCGTTAGTCCAAACGTTGGTCCCAATCCTAACGCCATTTGTCCAATGTGTGAAAAGAAAATAGTATTGGCACCAACATTGGGACAAGCTATTTTTTATTTGATGCTTACTGTCCGTGGTGTATATTTTTATCCGCTTTGCATTGGAGGAAAGTCGAACCTTAAATCCGAATTCTTTCTATGTTCTTCTGATTAATTTCGCTGCCGGTCTAATGACAGTTTAACTTTTCCCGGGACAAACTTAACCTTCAATGGTTGGGTTTTTATTGGCGGTCAAGCTGTAGATCCTGGCTACACAGGAGTTGCAGCGATGGGAATAATTCCGTAAGCTATATTCTACATCCACACGTTGGACCAATATTGGAGCCAAAGTATGGAGCCAGCCTTAAAAGTGAAATTGACTTGGCATGGATGCATTCTCAAGAGGTGCAGCCGCCAACAATATCTTCGGGATCAAACTGCGCTGTAGAGCAAAATGACAGATTCGTTTTTTAAAAGCCTTTGCAAGGAAATTGTGCAATTTTCTTCTTTGACGCGAGTTAGGAAGGTTTTCGGCGGAATGAGAAAATAAGTCAATTTTTTGGCACGATGCTTTGTGATGGTTTTAAGCCATTTTTAAAGTTTTGAACTAATAGAGTTTAAAGCAGGGCGTCTTTGGAAGCATTCGAACTTATGGCACAGGGCAAAAGAACTTACCTACGGGGCGGGTACAAGCTAGTAATGTTTTTTTTATACTTATGAAAAAGATGACGTCATAAGATATCATGTTTTGACATCGCTTGATACTTGACGCAAAACATTTTGAGGACATGAAATAAACCAACATTGATGAAAGAAACGCTGGCTGTAACAGCGTATTACACTTGAAAATTTCGACGGGTTCATCCAGTGTCTAAGTAGCTCAGTTGGAAGAGCAGTCGCCCGACAAGCGGAAGGTCGTGGGTTCAATTCCCGCCTTAGGCAGTTCGATTTTTTCAAGTTATTTATAATTTTCAGACATACAATAAAATCATTGACCAAAAAGATAGCAAGTTTGATACCATCATGATCAGTGTGCGTCAAGCCGAAACCGCAAAACTACTGGGACCAATATCTCTGTGTATTACCCGATGGATTTATTGTATGGCAGTCCAATGGCTGATTAATGGACGGGTGATGTATGTGATTATCGATGTGAATTGATGACTGTGATCTACTACGGAACTTGCTTAGGGATGTTTCCTGGGTCAAAAAGCAAGAGTTTTAATTAGTCCGTCAGTTAACTTATCAAAAAATACTCTACACATATTTTTCACTTTTTCAAACTAGTGAAAATTTAAAGAGATAAAGCGCGCCAAAGTTCATAAGAAGAGGCCCGTGAGTCAATGCGTGCATAAAAGTGCCGCACGTTGTGACGTCGTGCGGAACTTCAACGCACCATAACTATGTAATTATTTGTTAGATTGACAAATAAAAATATACGTGTCCAATATTTTTTGATATTAAACATGACGGACTAAAAAAATTTTTTTAGGAAACTAGCCTTGTCCACTGCAGGAGGACGGACGATCTTTTCATATTTACCAGAAGATATTTGAGGATTTGGCCTACACTCCCCACCCTAGACAAGTTGGGGAGGCATGATGTTCGCATATTTCTAAGTCGTCTCTTAGGAAATCTATGGAATGAGTGGAGTGTCCTTATACCTATATGGGTTATAACTTAATTGTTCGATAACCCAGTGTCAGATTTTACGCTAGGCGACATGGCTCAAATATTACTGACTTTACCAAGGAATTTCAAGCACGAACATATTTTGGTGGACAATCAATTTAAATAATTATTGTTCAAATTCAAATTTAAAACGTTTATTGCATGTCACATTACAATTTATAGCGGTGTTACAAAATAGAGGTAGGTATATATACATGTGACAAGGGCACAGCAAAACATCAGAGAGGGTTATTAACTACCTTAAAATAATTTAAAATAAGATTTAGTTTTAAATGGTCAATATTATGTTGAGTGTATCAATTAAAGAACGTTTACATGACTCTATTATCAGGGAAATTAGATATTTTGTTAATTAAATGTCAGGCCAATTAGTAACGTTTAACGAAACATCCTTTATTTCACACACAAACAAACATGCCTACATAAATAACGTAAATTCCAAAGGCGATTAGACCCGAGGTCCATGATACCAGTCCTGAACCAATATTTGGACAAGGCAAGCCCGGATGTTATTTCAACGCGTGAGAGCAGAGGTCGTATTATGTATTTTTATAGAAACTGCATAAAAATACAGTGTTGTTGTATGGATGACAGCAGACTGTGGTATTAATGTAGTTCTGTGCTTTATGGAGTGGTAATAAATGCAATTTTTGAACATACATGTAGAGTCTTATGCTTGGGTCTATGTGATATCAAAAAAATTAAACAGCGGTGTCAAGTTTGTGCGAGGGATAGTAATTTGATTTTTGAATTCCAATTATTATCAATTCAATTTTTTCTGATTCAAAAGTGAACAAGATTTATTTAATTTTTGGTATTCAGAGTTGCATCTCAAACTAATTTGAAAATTGTAAATTGGTAACTTGAAAAAATCGAACTGCCTAAGACGGGAATTAATTGATGAAACAAACGCTGGCCGTAACAGCGTATTTCGACATGAAAATTTCGACGGGTTCATCCAGTGTCTAAGTAGCTCAGTTTGAACTTTTGAAGAGCAGTCGCCTGGCAAGCGAAAGCGTGGGTTCAATTCCCGCCTTAGGCAGTTCGATATTTTCAAGTTATTTATAATTTTCTAATGAACAAGATTTATCCCAGCAAGTCACGGGATCCGTTTTGACATGAAATGAACTTCATAGCAACTGTCAAAGTCAATATAGCTATCGCTATAAAAGTTGCTATTACACCCTCAGGAAGTTGTACGAATGGGTGTGAACTCCCAAATCTGTTGTTTGCGTTCACGCTTTTATTAATATTGTTTCCTGATGTCCTGCCATTTCCACAGCATAAACCGGGCAGGGTCGCGGGTCAGTATTAGTATTTATAGGAGGTCAATGTCGTTTTTCAGCGGATTACTGGTTCAGTTACATTGAGTGAGTTATTTCTGTTTCTTGGTGCACGCTGTACTGTATTGATTTACGTGATACATAAATATGTTTGTAAATAAAATAACTAATACATATAGAAGAATATAAAGCATATCATATAGAAGAATATAAAGCATATCATATAGAAGAATATAAAGTATAGTATTGCAAACACTTCTTAGTTTATGCGCGTATGTAAAATGGGCCATATTAGACAACAACATGATTCTTTATTTAAAGAAGCAACTAGGAATTTAAAAAAAATGAAGATACACGCGCTGGTAGCTTTTCGAGCTTTTCCAGCTTCATCGGGCATAGTGGCGAGTACAGAGGGTACTCTAGCCGTTTGTCGATCGTTGGTGCGCGTGCCGACGAGGCCGAGTGTTGAAAAATGTGGACATACCTCAATAAAAGTGTCAGACACGAATCTCTGGACCAGCGAGGTCTTGCCGCACTGCGTGTCGCCAACCAGCACCACCTTGACCTCCTCCTCTGCCGTCGGCGTACCCGCCGCGCTGTCGGAACACTTCTTGCCCGACCACATTGTCGCTTCTATGCTGGTTAGTCTGTGGACAAAAAAAAATTTTTTTTAATAAGTTGGGAGGCAAATGAATAGACAGAAAAGTTGACGACAGATGAAAAGAGGTATATTGTCGCTTAATGCTAGTTAGTCTGTGGACAGTAAAATTGTTTTTATGAGTTGTGACGCAAAGGAATAAAGTGAGAGCATTGGCAACTCTTCTGGAGTTGCAGATGAGAATGGACACGTGTCGCTTCTGTGCTGGTTAGTTTGTGAATAATTGTTATTTTTTGTTAGTTGCAAGGCAAAGGAATAAAGACAGAAGTAACTTTTCTGATGTAGTTAGTATAAGACTTGATGACTTACAATAAATTGAGCGTTTTCATATAAGAACGTAAATAAACGGAATTTGAAACTAAAACGTTTTTATACCAACTCCTAATACTGGATCCGTTTGTTTTATAATTGCTATTTCAGACAGTTGAAACTTTTCAATTTTTCAATTTCATTGACCCAGCGAAGAATTAATTACAGGATAATATTTTATACTATACATCTAAATTGATCACTAAACCATTGTATAACGTTTTAATGAAGCACAAATACTTTATATTGAATCAAATTCGTAATGGCCAAAAAAGTTTTGCGTCCATCAGCATTCGGCAAAGATCTCCCCAAAAAACAAACGTGGGTGCTTCACTCAGAGGAATTGCTTCAGGAATATCCTCCAGATTACTTAATGCGTGCTCAATAAAACCAGGAGGGCTCTGCAGCAAAAACAAAGACTTTCAGGACTGTAAAAAGGGGAGAAATATTAGGTGAGGTTCCGTCGTGAAAATGTTTATAATTTAGGGTATAAAAAACTTGTTTTATTATTTAATACGTGACGTCAAGTTACTTAATTATAAATCATAGTGATTTCGTAGTACGAGTATGTACCTGAAACTAAATTATATTTTTCGGGACTTTGCATTTAAAATTACTCCTAGTAACTTACACAATGCACAAACTAAAACCCAGTTATAAAATACAAAGTCTAAAAGCTGGGTTACCCTTTTTGCTGCTGCCACAGAATAATAATAAGTAGGTACTCTGCTGCTTGCATAGATTTTACAGCGCCACTAGCGCCACTTTTGACGCACATGTTAGCGAGCACACATAACTTAAACTCATGGTAAGCTATATTACTTCAATGTGGTAAGCCTGAACGCAATCAAACCAATGCAACGGTAATGTATTGTCGCGTGGTGTAGCGTGGGGTTGCATAATGTCGCGTCTTATAATGTAGTCTTATAATGTAACTACCTAGTGTTGTTATATGGCTAAGAATAGTGTCGTATCTGGTCGCCACTCAGAGGGAAAGCTCGTTAAATGAACGCTACGGGACCCTGAATGGGTTGGATTCGCGTAAATCTACACGCGCTTGGTCTATCCGTGATTCCAAAATAATTTTACGGCCGAATAACAGAGTGGGTAGCATTGACTCTACCATTGATTTATACGGCACGTGTAAGAAAGATCTAAAGTGAACCTTTATTTAATAAAGTATTATGATAATTTATTAATGGAAACAATAAAGGGAAAAAGAGACACTTCTGACAAGTTATATTAATTTTTATTTTCCTTTATTAAAGGAAACAAACAATGTTATTTGAATTATTAACTATCTGATATAAAGCTGTTTGTAGAGAATTTTTTTTTCTTCTTTGAGTGTACAATTTTAAAACTTTTCTTTCGGGTGCTTTTTTGTTATATCGGACGTATGTTTTCATTATAAGAACTAAGGTGAATTCTTAAAAGGTCTTAATTAAGTAGTCACTAAAACGACTGGAAATTAATATTAAACTGTCTTTGGCTTATAAACTGCTAAGGCAGAGAAAATTAGTAAAAATCGAATAGCTGAGAAGTGATGATAGCGAGTATTTTTTCTTAAAACATTTTGCAATGCTGTAATTTTGAGGATTAACCATCCGCTGCTTCAGGAGTTATTTATAGTCAGGAAAGGATTGCTGATCTTGCCAGTGAAGCTTTTTATTTGCTTTTGCAAAGATTTATTTTTATTATGTACCTAGGTTTTATAAGTTTTAAAAGTTTAGCCAGCTATTTTATTAACTATTTCATTTAAGTTTAAAGAAGTGTTTCAGAAAAAGTACCTGACCTTAGATTTTAAGAGCGAATGATAGCTCGACATTAAAGACTGTAAAATACCGGGGGAAGCCGCGATCCCAAACTAGTATCCACAATAATAAACCCCGCGGCGAATCTTTAGTTACTTCCAGTCGTTTCAGCATAAATATCTCGGCCAAGATGAGTCCAGTGAAGATAAAGAATTTCTTACGCAAAATAAACAACATACACACCTATCTTTGTCTCCGAGCATCTTACAGCCAAAGGATCACGACTGCACTTTTTGGCCCGGGATCTCTCGAAATCCAAGAAATACAAGTTCTGCTGGACAGCATATGGCAAAGTATATGTTAGGAAGGAAGAGAACTCACCTATAATAAATATTCGCAGTGAGGAACAAGTACAAAACCTAATGCAAGGTATATGACTGACTATCTGTACTCTTAGAGTTAATATCTTTTGATTCTCTGCCATATTGTAGACTCTTTTATTTTTGTTTTTTACATAAATTGCTTTCTATTTTCATATCATCACTCATACATATTTCACTTCTCAAAAATACAAATACACTTCCCATACACACTAAATATATCACACTAAAATTAGCAAACAAAATGTCTAACATATGCCTACCCTATCATATCTGTATTTATCTAGAAATTCTTAGAAACTGCGTATTCTATAACTGTTTAAATAACATCTTCAGTTCATATTGCTGCAAAAATGGCTAGCTGTCTGGAAATCCAGAACTTAATAGACGAGCTTCTGATAGCAAAAGCAGTTAACTGCGATATCCAGGACCTATCCCAACACATAACTGTTACTCAACGCAACCTTACGATAGTATGCCAAAATATTAGAAGCATATATTGTAACATTGACGATTTGGAGGTTACACTTAGCTTACTTAAATTTAGTCCAGATATAATAATTTTAAGCGAATGTAGAATCGACACCAGGAAACCCATCCCGTCGCTTATTAATTACAAGTCATATTCAACTAGCAATCACATTACTCAAAATGACGGCGTTATTGTATACATAAAGACAAATATTACTGTCACCAACGTTAGGGAAATAATGCTGCAGCAAGCATCTTGTATCCAAATTGACACAAACAATACAGCAATTTTGGGCATATACCGTTCACCGTCAAACGTCAAAGCTGATCAGTTTATTAATTCACTTAATTTGCATTTAGATACATTAAAAAAAATTCAAAAATATTGTATTAACCGGAGATATCAATATAAATATAATTTCAGATGAATGTAAAAACTATTATGAAGAAAATAATAAATGTCAATATTTAGATATGTTGGCTGAGCATGGTCTATTACCAGGACATACACTCCCAACTAGAAAACTCAACTGTCTTGACCATTTTATGCTAAAATTAGATAGAAGCAAACTATCAGCAAATATTGCTATACTAAACACTTCTATTACTGATCATGCATTAATACTTTTGAGCCTAAGTTTTAACGAAACCCTAAATAAAATAAATAGTAAAATAAAATCTGTTGTCGATTACGATAAAGCTTTAGCTAAACTTAACGATAAAAACCTACCAGATCTACTGTTACAAGACGATCCTAACATTGTAACTGAGCTTCTATTAACCAAAATTTCTGATTCTATCCAAGAAAGCACAACTACAATAAAAGTTCCTAAATGCAAACGTGTTATAAAACCATGGATTACTACCGGCATGTTAAGATGTATACAAAATAGAAATAAACTTCAAAAAATGTTGCAACGTGATCCATTTAATGAAACATTAAAACTCACATACAAACGGTATAGAAATTTTTGCTGCAATTTAAGAAAAAGTTTAAAAAGAAACTATGAAAAAGAAATTCTGGTAAAATCGTACGGAAATCCTAAAGCACTATGGAAAAATATAAATTCTATTGCTGGTAGAGCATCTAAATCTGATAATTCTAAACTTTTAAATGTAATGACTTCCCCCTTGGAATCGGTTAACTTAGCAAATGAATATTTTGCAAATATAGGTAAAAAGCTTGCTGAAGACATTTCTCAGAGTTTAAATACAAGTTCGGTAAAACACAAATTTAAGGAGCAAAATATACAACCGAACTCTTTTGTTCTCTTAGATACAGACCCACCCGAAGTAAACGAAGTGATAATAAGCTTAAAGTCGAGCTCAGCGCCTGGATGGGATAATATTCCATCGAGTTTCATAAAACTTGCCAAAAATGAACTAGTTCCCATTATTTGTCACTTAACCAACCTCTGCTTTAGGAAAGGAACTTTCCCACTTAATTTGAAAAAATCAATAATAACTCCAGTGTACAAGAGTGGAAATGTAGAATTGGTCGGTAACTATAGACCAATCTCTGTCTTGCCATCAATCTCAAAAATATTAGAAAAGCTTTTAAATAACAGACTGGTTAACTTTCTTGAAAAATACAAAATCCTTTCTAATTCTCAATATGGTTTTCGACATGGAAGATCCACTGATGATGCTATATTAGACCTTACTTCCTATATAGTTGATAAATTGGATTCTAGTAGAAAATGTCTGGCTGTATTTTTAGATCTTCAAAAAGCGTTTGACACAGTATCCATTCCCACTCTTGTGCGCAAACTGGAAGAAATAGGTATTAGAGACACCGCACTGCAGTTATTTACAAGTTATTTAAGTGATCGAACACAAAGAGTCAAAATTGGTAATAATATAAGTAATGATGCATCTATCTCCTTTGGTGTTCCTCAAGGAAGTGTCCTGGGACCTACTCTGTTCCTAATTTATATTAATAGTTTATGCCATCTAAAACTTGGTGATGCCAAAATAATTGCATACGCAGATGACACTGCAATTGTGTTTTCGGATACAACATGGGAGGGCGTTAAAGACAAAGCCGAAGTAGGTCTTTCGAAAGTGGCTGGATGGCT